CTCTCTCTCTCTCTCTCTCTCTCTCTCTCTCTCTCTCTCTCTCTCTCTCTCTCTCTCTCTCTCTCTCTCTCTCTCTTGCGTGTGCGCGCGCACGTTGGACGTGTGACAAACCGCGTTTGTCGCGTTAAAGCCTTTGGGCTTGCGCGGCAAATGAAGTGCGGCCGAGTGAAAGGGCCTTCTTTGTAGTCGTTCCCCTTGGCCCCCTCAGCAGCTCGCCCAACCCCAGTACCCCGAAAACGCCCTGCACGACGTCGGCCCGCAGCGGGGTTGGGTTTTTTATTATTTTTCAATAATTTTGTTTTTTTTTTGAGCGCTTGAGGTGGTACCCAACAGGCCACTTTACCACCCCAGGCCCTCAGAAACCCCGTACTCCCCCACCAAACGTGTGAAATCCCAGTTCGCGGACCCCGTTTATTTGTGAGTAATGAGCGTTCAACCGGGGATTCAACGTGAATTCAACGTGTGTTGAATAATTCAACGCGGAACCCGCGTTGAATCGAAAATCGGACACACAAATTGGCATGGGATCTGTTATTGAGTGGGAGCGAGTCGTCAATCACATCGATTGGGAATGGGGTGCCAATTTGGATGAATGCATGTGGTGCTAATTTGGACGTACGGATCCAATTTGGATTGGCTGGCCGTGCTAGATGGATGGATGGGGCTCTCTGAAAGGTGCCAATTTGGATGGCGTCCCAATTTAGGTGGGGCTGCCACAATTGGGATGTATGGGATGTATGGGGTTCCAAGGGGTACCAATTTGGATGCGGTGCCAGTTCAGATCTGCCTATTGGGATGTATGGGGTGCCCGGTGCGATCCATGGGTTGCCAATTTGGATTTATGGGGTGCCAATTGCGATGTATAGGGTGCCAGTTTAGGCGACGTTCCAGTGCATGTGGGGTGCCAGTTTGGGTGCAATGCCAATTAATTGTGTGTGATCTTTCTCCGATTGGTTTGTGGCATTGCAGCCGTTACAGGGAACATGTTAAGGATTTGTCTACTTTGGGGAGGGATCTGCGGCGAACAGTTCTCGTGGACAACAACCCGTTCTCTTTCATCCTACAGCCCGTGAATGGGATTCCCTGTGTTCCATTCACAGGAGAGCAACCGGAAGACAGACAGGTAAAGATCTCTTCCGCCTACCGACATGGCAGTAGTATGAGATCGACAATGGCTATACACTCTTTAATAGCTATACTAGTATACTGTCGTATAGACACTTTTTTTTTTTTTTTTTTTTTTT